TTGTGAGATTATGTCTACTCGCAGGATGTAATTTACCTCAAAACTGAAACTTTAATGTCTTCCTCTTGCAGTTTGAGCCATTGTGCGCGTAAATACTGCCGCGCAACATTTAAAGCATAAGTTTTATCAATGTCAAGTTTTTCCATTGAATCTTAACGTGATTTTAAATAATACGAGTGAAAATAATGAACGCAGTTTAAGATCACGCGAATTGCTTAGCTGGCGTTTGGATATCAAAGTTTGCACATAGATATCTTTAAAGATACATTATCAACTCACAAACACACAAAGCTTTGTTTGCATCCAATTTTATTTCGTTAATTCGTCACCAAACAGATAAGCAAATCTTTCCTCAAAAAGTTCAATGCGGTCCTTGATGAACTTAATAGAGTGGCTTGCAACATTATACCCTCTTATCATAACATCGGGCGTGATAAATGGATTAGTTGACGGAAGAAGCAATGGTTCAAATGCAAAGCTGGCCATGTAATAGGCACCAACTATTGCGAAAAATTCTGCCTCATGCAAAACATGTTCAACTGAATCTAAACCATTCGGATCCCATTCGCGGTCAGTAATTAGTTTTTGGCTCTCGTTTAGATACATGCGAATAAAGTCCGAGCGTATTTCTTCCGATGGATAATCGCATCCAGACAAGAACGTAGACGAGGTCACGTCAAACATGTAACACCAAAAGTGCATCCCGATATCTTTTCCACGTTCATTGAGCGAGGCAGCCTCAAAGTCGATAAGTGTGATGTATTCTCCTAGTTTATCGGGCTGCTCGCGTACCATCGTGTTGGTCGCATTTCTGTCATTGGTACACAATACGTCTGGTGAGTGGATTAGCAAGCGCGTTTTCTGTAACCAGGCATCTGTTTCACGCCATGGCCATTTGAATAACTGTTCAATGTCCCTAAAGTCGCCCTTTTGCGCCATTTCGCGATGGTACACACGAGAGGCATCAGTATCAGACTTCTCAAAACGCTCGTTCGCGACGTTAACCCATTCGAGACGGCTGTTTATCATTGGAATTTGCATGTGGTGAAAAAGAGCGAGTTTATGTGCTATCTGTTGTTGCAATTTCTTGTCAAAGAAATCAGCGCCTCCCATCAGCCGACACGATATGTACTCTTCGACCCGACCTCCATCAAACGAACCGTACATTTTCGGTCCATAGCCTAGCTTGCCATACTTGTAGTAAATTAAAAACTGCGTCGTCCGATCTAGGACGAGGAATTTATCCTCGTTTTCTTTATTCCATGCCTTTCCACCGACCAAGCGAATGAGAAACTTTTTGACTTCACCTTTTTGTATTTCAGTTGTGTCTTCGACCAGGTAGAGGCGTGACGAGTAACCACCGCTAAAGATTAATGCAAGATTAAAACAAGTTATGAAGAACCTTTTTTATTACCTTAAAACCGAGACATTAATTTCATGTTCTTGTAGTTCAAGCCATTGAGATCGCAAGTATTGGCGCGCAATGTTTAGCGCATAAGCTTTGTCTATGTCGAGTGTTTCCATAGCGAACGGTTATAAAATTTATATCTAAACTTGTAATGTGAACGTCAATCAACTAAGTGACAGAAATTCAATGATCAACATAAGGCTAAGCATGTGATAAACAGCTTTGAAGCATATGCAAAACATGTAGGCAAATGCTACGCGATTGATAACATATCAATGATAAGCATACTGGTTAAATACACGTAAACAAATAGTTTGATGTCATGCAGCTTGTACGCTAGCGAGCGTTTCAAAATTGCTGCATGCGTAATGTTAATCTCACAGTTACTTATTCAGCGCTTGTGCAAACAAAGCTTAATCATTTTATTTACTTCATTCGCTACTAAAAAGATATGCAAATCGTCTCTCAAAAAGTTCAATGTGTTCGTCAATGAATTTCATACAGTGCCTTGAAACATTATAGTTTAGATATACCATCAGCCGAGCCGAACGAATTAGTTGAGGGGCGAAATGGTTCTAATCCAACACTAAACATAAAAAAAGCATGAGCCATGGCGAAAAATTCAGCCTCGTGTAAAACATGCTCTACTGAATCTAAACCATCAGGATCTCATTCTCATTCCGTGACAAGTTTTTGACTCTCATCTAGATACATGCGAATGAATTCCGAGCGCATTCCTTCCGATAGGTAGTCGTATCCAGACAAGAAGGTAGGCGCTGTCACATCGAACATATAAGACCAAAAGTGATTGCCGATGTGGGTGTGGGTGTGTGTGGGTGGTGGTGTGGGTGTGGATGAGTGTGGGTGGGTGTGGGTGTTGATAGTAGTTATGTCATTCACTGACACCCACATCCACACCCACCCACACTCACACCCACACACCCACACCCACACCCACACACCCACACCCACATCCACACCCACCCACACTCACACCCACACCCACACACCCACACCCACACCCACACACCCACACCCACATCCACACCCGAATCAGAAATATTCTTTCAAACTAGTAAACTATGATCAAAACTGGCAGTCGAAATACAGAGACTGATTTCTTCAAAATAATTTTCAACGAGTTTGACTGTGTGGATGAGTCCTGGACCAAAAGCAACTGAGTATGAGTAAATATTCAGATTCGCAAGTGCAAAAACAAGTTGAACGAATATATTTGTCTCGAAATCAGTAATTCCTTCAATAATATCCCGTGCTAGGATATTATCAACAGACACCAATGTTTGAGTTCGAGGAGAGGATCCAATAGCTGGCAAAAATTGACTAAGTGAATCGATCGGTATGCCGTCTTTTGATCTTGGAAACATATCAAACTTCTTCCCACTCTGCAAGAAGAATGATTGTTATTTAGGAGACCCATACGATGAAGAAGGCAATGATCTTCGTATAATATGAGATCACAATCGTCTCAACTCCTGAAATTTTCTCATTGTCGTCGAAGTTGTAGGAAGGAGTTTTGGTTTTGCCGTCGTTCCAGAACTTGTAGCAAAATAAACTATGTTTTCGGACGACAGCAAGTTCTTCTCTCCGTCAAGAACCATTCGATCAATATAATCATGATAGTCTTCATAAGTTGTTAATGGAACTTTTTCTCGAAACTCATCGATCGATGCATACTCACATTCTTTCGAAGCAGTACTGTACGTCGAGAAGCATGAAATTGATCGATCCATAAAGAATGCACATGAGTGATTCTTCTGAAGAATTTCTTCCAATAGTTCATTGTTAGTAGTTTGAAAATTGCAAAGCGAATTTTGATAATAGGACACAAATAGATCCATGTCCAATCCTCGCAAGTTTGAATCCATTAATTTTTGAAGTTAAATAAGTGACTGTTAACGGTGATTCATACTTCGCCTGCCCTCGATTCTCTTTCTCTTTCTCTCTCGCTTCTTCTTTCTACTATATTGTTATTGTTATTGTTGTTTCTCCTTCTTTCTCTCTTGTTCTTCTTCTCCTCTCTATGGATATATATATACCTAGTGATTTAAGGACATTTTTGAAGAGATTTAACATATGAAATAAATAAAATAAAGTTAAGCTCGTCGAAGCGAGCTAACAGTGACTTTGACAAAGTGCCTGAGTTGCGTATAGAAGAGAGCTGTTTTACCTAGTTATCAAATTATACTTTGTACTTTCCAGGTTATCACACCAGAATGTGGGTGTGGGCGTGGGTAAATACAGAAAATATTAGTGCCCATAACTACACGCACGCGCACACCCATACCCACACCCTCGTTCAATTCAGTATCCAACTGAATTTTTCTCATTAATTCTAAAAATAAATTTCTTCTGATTCTATCGATAGTCTTTCACATTATTATTCTTACAAAAGCAAAAAAAATTGTTGTGAAGTACATATAAAAAGAATAAATGAGAATCTCGTTGATTAATATCAAGCCCAAAGATACAGAAAAGTCACTCGAAAAATCACGTAACTGAATAGAAAATTTTATCTTTCAGCTTTGTATAGCACGATGCAGTTGCTGTTGCTAATCGCAGAAAATTGCTTTATTGTATCTAGGTTGGGACACATCTCTTCACCATCCTTTTACTTAATCCTTCAGAAATGAAATAAGGCAGTAGTTCATATATTAGAACAAGATGTTGTTGATATAGAGTTCATGATGGTCTCTAGTTAGCGTATGTCACTGTCTGGCGGATGGGGAAATCCAAGTTTCAAGTATGGATGTGTTGTGAATGTACCTGTATTCATCTTTTCGTCACACCCACACCCACATCCATCCTAATATCTAATGGCAACATTGCTGTTTGCTTTATCAATGAGTATAATCATGTAGCTATCATGAGTACGATTTGACTTATCTGAAATCATTTGATGTCAACATGCTATAGTTAATATCGATAATTTGACTTGATCAAACTAACTATTTTACTTCTAAAAATAGTAGAATATTATAGTGATATGTGAGTACTACAGAAACGTTTACTATATAATGTAAAACGATCGAGATATTAATGATTCGAGGAATAGTTGTCAAATTTATACCATCCTGAATAATCCATATAAGCTTATGTGTAGAGGAATAACGTAGATGAGGAAATCTGGGTACTACCGCTACAGTGAAAGTACAGTACTGTTGTGGAATCAGTGTATAGTTATGGATTATATCCACCAAAAATTGAAATAAAAATTTACTATTAGCAGCTCTAGATTTTGATTGGTTTATCAGCATCTATTTTTTGATGACAAACACTTGAAGAATTTCAGAAAATGAATTTTTGCCACTAAAAAAGGTCCTGATCTATGTAGTACAGCGAACAAAAAAGTTTGCATAGATAGACACATTTTTATTCACGTTGTCTTCCATTTAGCACCATCTTGTGGTATATAATCTAAATCTTGTTGACAATTATCCATATTAACCCAACAATAATCATTATTTGAAGAAACGAAATAAATCTCAAACTTGTTCAATATCAATTGTTTTTCTAATATTCGATCAATAAATTGACATAAATCACGATGACTACACTGTACTGATTTATCTGATCAATCATACAAATCAGATATTACATCATCAGTTGTATTTATCCAACCGAATCTTGCACAAATAAATTTAACATTTATAGTTTCAATTGTTGAGTATTGTCTAGCCAATTCTTCACTATATATTTTACTGTTAGAATATGCTTCAAACGATGGATTAAAATGGGATGGTATCGGAGGATCATTAATTGTTATCTTTTTCAATAATTGTTTTGGTTGAATATTTTTTGCTAATGATGAATATGGTTTATTTTCTAAATAGCCAAAAACAGTCATAATTGAACTAGCATAAATAATCATTTCCATATGCTCTTGTTTTGTTGCTATATCAAATAGAAGTTTTGTACCATAACAATTAATATGATTAATTTTTTCAACTGCGTCTGTTTTTGTAAAAGTGCTGCTAGATGAATAATAATATTAATTTGATTTTCTTGGATAATACGTGAAATTTGATTTTCATCAGTGATATCACATACATAGAATTTTTCTTTTGATGGTGAGATATAACCCAGATCCAGAAATTCGCAATTCAAAGAAATTCAAGCAATTCAAGGAATTCAAGTGATCCCAATAATACAAGGAGCTGAAGAAGTTCAAGGAATTCAAGTAACCCGAGTAATTCAAGAAATCCAAGGAATTTAACGAAATCAAGAAATTGAAGAAATTCTATTGAATTGCTTGATTTACTTGAATTCCACTAAAGTGTTAAGGATAACGATGCCTTCACCCACACCATCCATATTGC